TCCTTTGTGAGCCTAACTCTGCATTGAATATTCACAGAATTTTAAGGATGTGAGAACATCAGATAAACAGTTTATTTTGAATTAAAGTTTCTTATATTTTTTGTTCAAATTTTTCAAAGTCAATAACTCATCTGGGGCCTCATGTATCAATACTTGCTTGGATCTCATACTAAAAAGGGCGACTGCAAGAATCCCGAAATTTGTGCACGCAGGAAAAAAAAACTGGATGTATCAATCTGTGCACGTGCCAGAATCCACGCATGTTTCCTTGATACATCCAAACCAGCATTGGGATTGAACTAAGTGCAGATGTCAGAGTGACCAGGCCCTTCCCTGTTACGCCCACCTATACGTATGCAAATTTATTTAAATCGGGTCTCCGCTGTCCGCGCTTGAAAACAATGTCCATAAAAAGGGATCACGGTGTGCGAGTTGGAGTTGCTGGTCGGGAAGTTGGTGGAGAGACAGCAGTTTTTGATTGGCAGCCTGTCTAGTGGTCTCAGTAAAAAAAAAACAACAACATTGTGAGTGGGATAAGGTATGCGAGAGAGTGAACGCACACCCCTGTAGAGATTTAAAGAAAAGTGGTTAACCTCAAGGTGGAGGTCAAGCGGTGTACAGCTGCCCCCCGGAGGAGTGCCGGACAGACAGGTGGGGGTCAGGGAGAGGGGCACCTGATGGAATTTGAGCAGTGGTTTACGGCAATCATGGGCTTCACCTCTGTGGGGTGGATTGTCGCTGCCAGCCACACTGACTCAAAGGGCCTGGAGGGTAAGTTGCAACTCCATTTCCGACACAACAATTCCACATGCATTGCCACAGATGTAAACACAACAAATACACAGAATCAGCCATTTAAATAAACCAATGTTTATTGTTTCACAGAAATTGATGTCAGCCATGCAGCCGACGTGCAGCACCCATGCTGGCTCCCGGCTCAGAGTCATCTGCCAGGACCAGCGGCATTTGGGCCAGCGTCCCCCGGCCCCAGCACCAAGCTAACAAGCGGCGGATGGTACTCCAGCCCACCCAGACCCAGCGGTGCATCCTCCGGCCCACCTGGACCCAGTGGGAGGGTCCTGATACAGGCGGTCCTGCAGTCGCAGGAGGACATTATTAGGGGAACAACAGGGATCAGTGAGTGGCTCGACTGCCTGTTAAATGTTCTGGAACGTTTAATGGAAAAAAATAAATTAATCTTGCACATTCAGCACAATCATGAAGCCTCTTTTATAGCTGCTTAAGTAATGCGAACAGGTGTTTGTGTTTGTGTTGATGACTTTTTATGCCTGATGTATGAGCGGTTGTCAAATAATGTTAGTCACCAAACATCGGAACAGAGTGTCGCCAACGGACCAAAGTGCAGTCAACGCAAGAATCAGCTTACCGCCAACTTCTACGGCACCTCTTGGAGGTGTTGTGAGTTGATACATCTAAACTGGGCACTGATCCTGATGTACATGAGGCCCCTGATCACTAAAATAAATCATCTGGTCAGCCTTTCTGCTGCAGCAGCAGCAGCAGCAGGATGGGGAGAATACACGGAGATGTGTCCGGTTTGAGCTGCGCGAGAAGAGGGAGAGAAAAAGGGGGGGGGGCTAATTAAATATCTTGTTTACTTCATCATGTTTTCCTATTTACTGGATATTCAATTCAATGTGGCTTCCGCTGTGTTAATTCAGTCAGGTTAAGTGTCCAAACGCGTGTGAAACGCGCTCATCAGATAAGAAATGCAATATCTCGATATAGATCTAAATGTATGTGCTGACTCAGATAGCTGCACTGAATATTGGTTGTTGTTGATTATTTATTGCACTGAAATGTGCCACCACATCCAGTTTGGCGGACCTCGGTGCGCCTCAGTCTACGAAAATACCAAACTGGCTTTGTGCTGGGCTCCAACTGATGAAAATACTGCGCGGGGTGCGCCAACCTCCGCCGCACTGCCAGCAGGCGCAAAAATAGAGCCAAAGGTCTCCAAACTGGACAACCTTCTCCTCTAAACTGCAGCCTGAGATCCTGTCTCTGAAGATCACCAAAAATACAAGAATAAATATAGAATATATTCTATACAATGTTTTGATTCACTCCTGATCTTTGTGCACATCACTATTTGACACCACAGTCCTGTTTACACTTAGCCCCTTGCACAAAATGAAACCATCCCCCTGCTGTTTCTCCTGTTTGTTATTTTCTACATTTTGTACCAGAAGGACTCAGACACTGTAACTATGACAGTTCATCTACAGCAACCGCGGCAGCAGCAGAAAGAGCAAACTTTCAACACAAATAAATGGAAGCAAGAAGTTAGCGAGGAGGCTGCTTTCATGTAGGGAGCGCAGCCAAATGTTAAAAGCATCCTATTATCAAATATTCATGTGAGCATTGTCAAAGAAGACTAAGTAAACATTAAGAACATGACAATGAAAAAGCTGGAAACACAAAGAAATCATGCAAAACTAAAAACACCAAACAAAGACAGCTGCAGCAAACTTCATCAGCCTGTCAGAGTTAACAGATCATCACTTTATTCAAACACACAGCTGCGATGATGGCCATGTAAAGATCTGATCCAGTCTGTGTTTTGAATCCACATTGCAGTCAGGTATAAATAACCATGTGACGCTCTTCCTCTCAGCAGGACCTCAGATAAAAGTTCACCTCTGACGTTCAGGCTCATGACTGTGGAATTGTGTCTGAGCCCCCGAACCAGCGCAGATAAGAGCAAATGTAATCAACAACAAGATCACAGCCACACCATTAAACCAAAGAGGAGCTCAAATGAACCAGTGGAGCTGTGAATATGAGTGAGCTGAGTATATGAGAATATGAAGTGTTGGTTTAATCTGAGGTGGTACATTAACAGCTCTGGGTCATTTACGCTACAGTCTGCTCGCTGCATGGGATAAGGTGAGGAAAGGTTACCTGTGCGTCATTCACACATATATCTGACAGGAAAAGGAGTCAGCTTTTGCAAAGGGTTTATCAACCTCCAAGAACGGAGAACTTTTTTCACTGTGTGGCATCATGGGTAAATTTAGCCCTTTTCTCCTCTCTTTATTTTGTCCTTACCTCAAAACTGATCCCAACAAGCTGTACTGCTGCCTGAGGCTGCATCCTTCAATCCCCCTTTAAAAAGACAGAGACAGCAGCCAGTTTGAGGCGCTCTGTTGAAACGTCTGTGCTCATGATTCCGCTTCTGCTTTGCTTTACTTAAGTGAGCAAAATGAATAAACAATGCTGAAGGGTATGTTTGTATGCACTCAGCATTTGTAAATATTCATTAATGAAATAACCAAAGCTGTGCACACTGACAAAAGCTCTGACCTTTTCCTTCGCATTACCAAATCATGCTGCAGCAATTAAGAAGCATGAAGAGTGGGAGAAAAACACAGAATACAAAGTGTAGCTTTCTTTTCTCCTTTTTTGAGCCTCTTTGCCTTCAGTAGGAAGGACAGCTGAAGAGTGGCAGTAAATGAACAATAAAGAGGTCAGTGAAGATGAGGAGGACGTGTCTCTGTACATGTGGTGCCTGCTGTCCTGACTGAGCCAAAGCGACTGCTAAAGTGTGTTTTCTGATAGAAGTCTGCTCAGTGTTGTGCTTTCAGGAGTCAGCTCCTCTAAATCCAGTATCCAAGCCCAGAAACCTCCATTTGTTCAGTGTTCTGCCCTATCATCGACCTGTTTTTCTAACAATACGGGAGAAGCTGCTCAGGCTCAGGGGAAGAGCTGTGGCAAATCCTGACTCCTAAAAATAACATTTGTACTGTGTTATCTGCTAACCTCATGCTGAGGCAGTGACAAGAGTGGGCAAAGAGATCCACGCTGGTAAAGGAAAGAGAAATGTTCTTTTACTCTTCCTGCTGCACACCTGTCCTGCAAAAGAGGATTTCTCCTCACTACGCCCCCAAACCACAGTTGGAGCCTCAGCGGCAAATTTCACAAGGGTTTATTAACCAATGGGTTAAGGGCAACAATAACAACAGTGAGTGAATTGATACTTCATGTGAGTGAACTGATGTCTGTCCTGGACAAAAGAGACATTTACTGAACCTCACCCCCAAAAAGAAAGCTCCTGTGAGGATGTTTAAGACTTCTAGAGTTTGCTTTGCTTTTCTTGTTGTAGACTTCTGCCAAAATGTTTATGCTCTGTTCTCTTTTCTGGTCTTTTACCATCAAAAAATCTTTTTTTTTTAATTCACGAATTTATTTCTTTATTAATCACAAAGCAATGATTTGCTGAATCTGTTGCCTCATCCATATCTGAGGATTGGCCACAGAAACTATACTGCTGTTCGATCATCCATCAAATCAAGTTGCTCTCAAGTTTGCCATATGGCTGTTTAAGAAAGCACAGAGAAAATAATAAAAACATTACAATGGCTCAAAAGGCTGCCTAAATTGGTCAACTGTGAATCCACAAAAGATGTCTTGTACCTAAAAAATCCAGTCCAGGCTCTGCTTGAGCTGTTTAAGTCGGTGTGAACTGTTTCTCATCTCAGTAAATAAAGAAATCTGTTTCAAATGCTATGAAAGTGCAACTTTCAGTCAACACATCCAAAGTTACTAAGTCTGAGCCCTACAACCATTTCATCAAACACCCCACAAAACCTGCACTTCTCCAAATTCACCTTCCTTTATTGGAAAAAATAACAAGAGCAGGGCAGCTCCAACACAGCTAATATACAAGAAACTGGAGAAACCAATCTGTAAAATCTTAAAAGCTGGAGCTTCTGCATGAAGTGTTTGGATGATGACTCAGTGAAAAAAAAACAAAAAAACCTATCATTTACTCTGCAGACACTTTGAGTGACTTGATTCTCTACAGTTTGTTTTCAATAGGGTTTACATCAGTACATTAGTGGAGTGGGGATTAAGTGGCTAGAATGGTACTTTGTGTGCAGTGTGCCATGAGCTGTGTGTGTGTGTGTGTGTGTGTGTGTGTGTGTGTCTGGACCTGGAAAAGGTGGTCTAAAAATTGTCTGCTTCTCCTACTCCGGATGGTAAACTGCAATCGTTGGGGCATCCCCCCTCGCAGTCAAAAAACTAAAATTTGCAGTAATTTAAGCGTTGCTTCGTGGAATGTCTGCACACTGCTGGACTTGGCCGAAACACCTGAGAGGCCCCATCGTAGGACAGCACTTGTGGCTCTGGAGCTCGCAAAGTACAACATTGATATTGCAGCACTCAACGAGACAAGACTACATGGAGAGGACTCCCTGACAGAGGTTGGTGCAAGTTACACCTTCTTTTGGAAAGGGGTCCCTGAAGGCTCTCGCCGCATCCATGGAGTTGGTTTTGCTGTGAAGTCCCAACTGCTGCAGCGCATCCCAGAATCCCCCGTCGGCATCAAAGAGAGACTGATGACATGGTGCATCTGATCATTACAAACACCACCTTCCAGATGAAGAACATGCTCAAAACAACCTGGCAACACCCCCGGCACTGGTACTGGCACCTCCTGGATTATGTGATTGTCTGGCAAAAGGACAGATGGGATGTTCTCACCACCAGAGCCATGCGCGGAGCAGAGTGCTGGACCGACCATCTCATGGTGAGGTCCAAGCTCCTCATGAACATTCAACCCTGTCGCCCTAGGACAGCCCAAACCAAGAAACTAAACTGTACAGCACTGAACAGCCCCACCACCAAAGACAACCTTCGACGGCTCCTTGCAAAAAACCTTGACCAGATCCCTGAAGAATCCACTGACTGGCCAGCCCTGCGTCATGCCATCCATAGCGCAGCTTCAACGGCCCTTGGCCATTTGAGGAAACGCCATCAGGACTGGTTCGATTGCAACTCAGCCGAAATACAGCTACTCCTACAAACCAAACACCAAGCACATAAAGCCCTCCTGTCCTGCCCTGGATCTTCTTCCCTGAAAGCCACCTTTGCTGCCACCAGATCGGCAACTCTCTGCACCCTCCGGACCATGGAAGATGCCTGGTGGGTGCAGAAGCCTTCTTACACGCCGGCTGCACCTCTTGATTTCACACATGTGGGAAAATGAGACCCTCCCACAAGACTGGAAGGATGCCAACATTGTGGTCATCTATAAGAACAAAGGTGACAAAGCAGTCTGTGGGAACAGCCATGGAATCTCCCTCCTCTCCATCGCAGGGAAAGTATTGTCTAAGATCATGCTCAAGAGACTGGTGGAGCACATCTCGGAGGCTGCCCTCCTGGAGACACAATGTGGCTTCTGGAAGACTAGATCCACCACCGACATGGTCTTTGTCTTAAGGCAGCTACTGGAGAAGAGCAGAGAGCAGTGCAAAGACCTCTATATAGCCTTCATCGACCTCAGCAAAGCTTTTGACACCGTAAGTCGTGAGCTGCTCTGGAAACAACTCTCTAAACTCGGGGTACCATCCAAGTTCCTCTCCGTCCTACAGCAACTGTATGACGGGATGCAAGCCAGAGTCTTCACCGGAGAACTCCAGTCAGAGTTCTTCAGAGTAAACGTTGAGGTGAAGCAAGGCTGTGTCTTAGCACCGGTACTTTTTAATCTCCTCCTTTTTGCTATCACCTGCCTCTTCCATCGCGCCCTGGATCACAATGACGGTGTTCACCTTCAATACCGTCTTGACGGAAGTCTCTTCAACACCCGCCGTCTCCACGCGGATGACTGCGCAGTCCTGGCACACAGCCCAGAGTCCACGCAGTATGCCCTCAACACAATCATGTCCCAACTCACTACCCAACCTGCCTCACCCCACAGCTTTCATATAAATGGTGTCCCTCTCAAAACAATTGATCACTTCACTTACCTCGGCTCCACACTGTCCTCCCACTGCTCCCTTGACATAGACATACACACCCGCATCAATAAAGCTTCATCCGCCTTTGGACGGCTCCGCAGCTGGGTTTTCGAAAACCACAATCTGAAGGTCAGCACCAAGGTTGCTGTCTACAACGCAGTATGTGTCTTCACTTTGCTCTACGGGGCAGAAACATGGACTCCGTACAGATCGCACATCTCAAACTTGGAGGCCTTCCATATCCGCTGCCTCCAGAAGATCCTTGGCCTGTCCTGGGTAGATAGAGTCCCTTACACCGAGATCCTGGAGAAAACGAATTCCAGCTGTATGTAAGCAGCTGTAGCCAAAAGACACCTACGCTGGATCGGACACACCATCCGCCTGCCTGAACACCACCTGCCCCGACAAATCCTCTACGGACAACGACACGATGCTAAGCGTGCTGCTGGTGGTCAAAAGAGGCGTTACAAGGACTACACCAAGGAGCTTCTGAAACACACTGCCATCAACCCCATGCAGCTTGAAACTCTGGCACTTGATCCCATAGCTTGGCGAGACACCTGTGCCAGAGCAATCTCACGAATAAACGACAGCAACCAGCAAAGGAGGTCTGAGAGATGTGCCCAGCGACACCAGAGGACGGCCAGCATCCGACCAATGTCCGGGATCCCCTGCCCTATCTGCGGACGGATGTGCACCTCACACATCGGCCTTGACAGTCACATCAAGTGGCACCAGCAGCAACATCGCTGAAACCCCCCCTTCCCCCCTAGAGCGAGCGTGTGTGTGTGTGTGTGTGTGTGTGTGTGTGTGTGTGTGTGTGTGTGTGTGTGTGTGTGTGTGTGTGTGTGTGCCTACTATGCACTCACAGGTGCATTTACACTGAGAATTAAACTCAGCCCTCAGGCATAATCTGTAAAAGATATAATTTCAGCACCATGGACAGTGACACACTTGTCATTGAGCCAATCAGGACCCTTTTCTACAGCTTTACTCTTTCAGCACCAAGGACAGCTTCTACTGCTCTGTTGTAAATACAGATAATACATTTTACTGCTTGAATCTTGGACTGCACATCCATATGCCACAAACAATGGGAGCTTGATCTTTCCCAAGGACAGTGCAATACTCTGAAACTGCCTACATTTTCTTTAAAACTGAACAATGAAAAGACATCTGAATTCGTGTGACTGTTGACCTCTTTTTGGATTAAAGAAAACAAGCTTACAAGCTTTAAATTAAAGCAACACAGTTGTGGATAGATTTGAGCTCTGCCAGAACAAGAGCGCACAACACAGCCCTGGAGATGCTAATAGTTAATCCTCTCAGTTAGACGCAAAACACGAGTAAATCACAGAGAGGTGTAAAACTTTGTTGGAAAGTTGGTTCTTGAGTTTTCCAATATAGCCTTTGTGAGTTGTACCCTTGAGATGGAGCAAATAGCTTCAGTGTTTTTGGTATGAGTAACAGTGAGGTTGTATCTGATGTCCTATCTTGGAGCTAACAGCATCAATGATCCATTTTCTGCAGATTCACTCTGAAATGATTTCTTTTAAGCTGAAAATCTTTGGAGAAGCTTTTGAGAACAAGACAATGTCAAATACTTATTTTAATTTTGTCTTGTTCTGAATGTTTTACTGTTTTCCATAAAGTATTTCTGTTGTCTTGTGTCTGGAGGGTGTTATAAATCCACCTCCTTTGATTGTCAGTGAGTGTTTTTAATCTTAGAGCAAGAAGATTAACTATTGACATCTAAGAGTCCTTATAAAACAAGTTGGTATCTGTTGTTCACACATGATTTTAACCCAGTTTGTGTCAAATATACAGTGAGGATTTTCAGTGTCTGTGCTAGCAGGCAGATTACATCAGAGTTACATCACCTAAGAGCTTTCTGCTCACCTTTTATTATTAATGTATATTGATATTATTAATCTTTTATTTGACGGACCCCAGTCCTGCAGAGGGGAATCACGAACCTCCTGTTTCATTGCAGGTGTCACCTTGAACCATAAGCTACAAATTTAAGATGAACAGAGCCTCTGAGTCTGAAAATGAGAACTGATACTGAGGAGCCTTGAACCTGGAGTTTTCTGTGGCTGGCTGCAGGGGGCAACTCCAGGAGTTCCAAACAGAAATCTGTTGGATGAAAGTGTGTGACAATGGACAAGATTTTTACATACAGCTATCAACAGCATCCCATTAGCTGCACACTCTTCTTATGGACTACCATTACTTAAGATGCACAGCTAAAACCCCCTTTTTACTGTCATCCTACATAAGAACAGGGCACTCTCTCAGCTGTGATAAAATGGTCAACACTGAACACTTTTAGAAATGTCCCAAGGTGAGAAAAATCACAAATTTCTCACAAAAGCGCACAATTCTAAAAAAGACAAAAACTGCTTAGTTTTCTGTGTGAATGCAAACCCTGTGCTGCAATCACTCACACACACACACACACACACACACACACACACACACACACACACACACACACACACACACACACACACACACACACACCTGCTCTCTGACGTGCTGGTCATCACTGTTCAATATGTTAAGAAGATGACTGAGTCTTGTGGCAATGTAGATCCATTCAAAGTTAGGAACCCCCAGCCCACCCCCCTGCTTGGATTGAAATATGATGACCTGTGTTGAATGAGTGTTAAGTCCAGTCCATTGTCTCACCAGATGTACGGTCTTATTATTCATTTCACAAAGGTACTTGCGTGGAATATGTACATTGGAGGATAAATGCCAAACTTTAACCAGGGCTATCTGTCTGACTGCTTCTAGTTTCATGATGAGTGGCAGGGGTGATGAATTAATTAAATCTAACCTGGTGGTATAGTCAGAGATAATTTCATCAACTTGCTGTTGCCATTCACCTGCCACATTGAACTTGTGACCCAGATAAATATATGTTTCATGACGTGAGTAGACCCTCAGTGGTGTAGCGATTTTAAATTCAAAATAAATGTCGAAAATAAATCAAATTAAATGATGACATTTATGCACTCGTTGAAGGGGCACCACCCACCTTTCTGGTGGGAAAAAGGACGAAACAAAAGTTCAATTGAGTAATTAAACGTTGGATCAGTCTTACACAGATTTAAATCAGTCTCTCATCTGAGGCCGGAATTCTTCATTCAGGGACTACTTTCTGAAAGACCACTAAGACGACAACTTAGAATTAAATGGACAATTTATTAACAAGCTATATGATAACAAAACGTCAATAAATGATGATCAAATAATGAGCAAATCAAAGCACATCTAATGAATAAACGAAGGAATAGTTTAAGTTAAACCTAAGACTGGAGGTTAATAATAGTGAGTGAATAAGGGGAAATTTAACCTACGTTAACGGAGTTACGAGGGCAAATAAAAGGAATTTGGAGAACTAAACTATAACTTATAAGAGTAAGCTACTGAACGGTTGACGGCATCACCCAGTTCTCATCACAGCAGTTTAGAGGATTTAGCCTACTTTGGACGTCGGTTCTCAGCGGCACCCTTGGAATGGATCAGCTGAAGTTCTGTGGCTACCGGACCGGATACTGAAGGTTCGGCGGGGAGTTCTTCCGCCGTGTCTGGATCTCAGCTTCAGGACCGTGTCAGCGCCGTTAGATACTTCGGATCTCTGGGCCTCTCGGAACCAGGTGGCAAAGCAGCTTGGCAGATGATGCTGGTCGGCATTCAGGACTTGCTTGGTTGCAGATTAATTCGCGCCAATAACTTAAGAAAATAATTTCGCTGGCCAGCCGATATTATCTTCAGGAGTCACTTTAGCGAACAAAAAAAAATAAAAAGACTTAGACTGAGGTTCTCTTATGCGCGCAGCTTGTTACTGAGGCTCTAAAGGACTTGGGAATGCTTTCATCCAAGTTTAGAATAAAAATCTGAGCTTAAGGCACTTAATAAAACGCGGGGAAAAATTGCGAACGATAGACGGAGACAAAAGAAAACACAGAAGAGATAAAAACGGAGGAGACAAAAACTGAAGAGTAAAAACAGAAGAGAAGAAAAACTGAAGAGAAGAAAAAACTGAAGAGAAGAAAAACTGAAGAGTGAGCAAAGACTCCCGGGCTCTTTTAAACAGTCCCGTGTGGGCGTGAGCCAAGAGGAAAGTTACAGCCAATGCTGTAACCCGATGCAGCACATCGACTGGCAGCGAATTAACTCAACTTGATATTAAAAGCGAGCTAGATCTAATTTACTCACTCACTATGATTAAACTGTTTGTAACATCACATACGATCACATTTCACTTCATTGTTTCTTATGAGCAGACGCATTAAAGCATGACATTGAAAACAGTAAACTTTGATCAGCCGTCTTCTTGACACTAACAGAGGATTAACGACTTTTAAAAGTTAGAGAGGGACAGAAAACCAATTATCTATTCGAACAGAAACACCATCCAGCATAAGAAACACATACGTAATAATATTTGACAACATTATAACCTTGTCAATCAAGCTTCCTAGATGATTAATATATATATTTGTGTGAGGTAGATAAAACGTAGTATGGATACATTCCGAAACTCTTAACTTGAGTCTAAACGAGTTTCACGTTACTACTTCTAAACTACTAGCCTATCTTGGGAATACCATTTACTAAGCTACGAGGTGTATAAAACAAAAGGGAAGAAATACACGTGATTAGATTCCTGCCATTTGGCTCTGATCAAACCATATTCAGGCATCACCACTAGGAGGAGCTCTTGGTCCATGGAAAACCTGGAATAAATTTGTGAAGTTAACAGTTTGGCTTGTGGACATGTTACAGAATTGGGAAAAAGACCATTTCATTAAGAATGTGGTGTACAGACAGAAAATTCTGGTGAAGTGTCCATTAAACAAGAAGTTAAACCATTTTCAGGCATCCTCTTCCTTCTGCTCTGCAAAGAAAGCCAAGGAATTTATGGCAGGTATCTGGTTTTTCAGATTTGGCGCCAACTGGCCTGTTTTCCCCCCTAGGTCATTGGGTTAATCCTGAAGTGTCAATTCTGATCTTTCCCAACCAGGGTGAGAGACTCCGTGTTTATGGGTCTGTGTGGTTGATAAGCAACTTGTCCTTTTTGGGAAGCGTTAAAGATTCACTATCACCTCCCAAATGGTTGCCTGGGTCATAAATGGGAACTTGGTGTGCAAACCGTTACTCCCCCATTTCCTGTCCAAACCAGAGGAGCCTGCATTCCTTTGAGGGGTGAATTCAAGGTGGATAGCAGAAAGCAGTTGTCTCATTACAGTGGCTTGTTGTTCACTGTAAATGTGGGAATGATATCTGTTTTTGACTGGTTCCCCCCGCTCTGCCGCTCATAGAAAACGGCACATTTTGTAGCATTGACCTCTAATCCAGACCACTCTAAAAAGGAGTCGGTCTTGGAGAGCATGATGTTCTTATCGTTCTCCTGTCTGGAGGCTATGACTACGTCATCTGCATATCCCTGGACAGGGTTTGGGGAGATCATGCTGGGGGGAACACCCCTACAGAGTCACCTTAACCACTGGTTAATAGCCAGTACAAATTTGACTGCACTCCATGGACAGCCTGTCTTTATACCTACTTGGAGTGGGATTGGGTCTGTGTGCTGCTTGCCACAGATCACCTGAATGTAAGAACCAGTGTATACATTCCTAACAATGTCAATAAAGACTTGTGGCAGATGTATTTCCTCCAGGGCTCTTAACATGATGTTATGTGCTAGGGTACCAAATGCATCACGAAAATCTTGGAAAACT